GAGGTCCTGTGCCTCTGCCAAGCCCATCTGCTGCCCTTACCATCTTTTAAAAAACAACCTAAATTTACTTAATTCTTACTTGTCTTGGAACATACTGTTGTAGCCACATAGCACATCACATGAAAAGAGAGGAAAGAAAGATCCAAACCCACAGAGACATGCCAGCCTCCTCTTCCCCGGCCCCGCGCTGTGGTGGTCTCAGTCCAGGCGCCGCTTGGTTCAGCTGGACTCACAGGGCCTCCTCCTCCTCAGGGGCTCTCAGGTCTGATCATGCCACCTTCCAATCTGACCCCTGCTTTAGATCCAGAGCAACTTTTTTAGAAAGCAACTCTGAGTAGGAAACTCAGAGGCGCAGGGGAGCCTAGTGCTTGCCCTCGAGTCCCCGATCCTGAGGGCAGAGCTTCCTGGCCTGGGTCGGCCAGTGTGGCAGCCACCTCCCTACAGGATGCAAGAGGAACAGAGCATAGCCAAGAGCTGCAGTTGTCTTTGCCTTGATGTCTCTGCCTGCTAGATAAGCTTCACAGTGACCTCAATTCACAAAGTTAGCTTTGGCTACACAGGCTGCCGGAGTCCCAGCTCCTGCTCAGCATGTGGCTGCCTGGTGAGTCCGAGCTCCTACTGGGCACGGCGCTGCTCCCGCCATCCCAGAGGACTGGCCTGGGAGTGCTGAAACGGACGCTGAAAACAAAATCAATTTTCATGCATGTCTTAGGTCCCCTTGAGTATGGTTATTTTTATGCAAGAAAAAATTATCAGGATGTTTACTTTGGTTTCAAAAGTAATTTATTAAAATTATTTTTGAAGCTTTAAAGTCAGTTGACAAGGTGAGACTGGGCCCCCGGGTGTGGTAAGAACAACATGAATTACGCATCTGCATGTGATGCTTCCCCAGGGAGTGCAAGTAGAGTAGCCACGGGTCCAGAATGTGGACTTGGTCTGTGGTCTTTGGGACACAGCCAGCCCCTCTGCGCCCTGCAGGCACCATGCTAGGGTGAATCCCAGAGCCTCCAGATGTCACCATAACGGGAGCCACGGCAAACAGAAACCCACTAGATGAGGAGATCCTTGGGATACCAGGTGACTGCCTACCTGGTGGTGAAGCTGGGGGAAGGGCCTATGGGAGGGAATCTAACTGGGGAAGAGGAGACCTGGCTTCCAGGGCTGGGTGGCCTGTGTTAGGAGGCCTACCACCAAGGGCTCTGCATTCCAAGTTCCAGCCCAGGCCCTGCAACTTGTTAGCTCTATGACCCAGGTAGTTCTTAACTCTCTGAATGTCAGTGTCTGCATCTCTGTGAAATGGTGTGGTAGCAGCCTCCAGCTCAGAGGGTTGTGGGGGGCTGGGAGTTAAGCGGGATCATTCCCGTCCCACCTGTACCTGGCACTGGGTGTGGCTGAGCCTGTGAGCTGCCCTCTTGATGTGGCTCATAACTTAAAGCTGTTGCCTGGCAGCGATGGATTTGCTCAATTATTTCCCAGAT